GCTGAGGGTGCACTCTATCCCACCACACATATCGCTGACAAGGTCTGCTCGTGGCTCACCATAATTCTGCAGGCTGCTATTAGAGGAGACTCACAGGGTCATTTCAGCCTCAGGTGGAGTTTGGCATTAGAACCTGATTAACTTGAGAGGGTGTCCTGTTAATGTTTTGGGAAGGTCCTATGTAAATTACTTTTAAGTATAATAATGTTGCGGAATTGAGGCCGTTTTATTAAAACTGGCATTAATTCTTATATGACAGCATGGCATCTCATGGCTAAATAAGCAATTAGGTAAAAAAAGTAATACATGTTTCGTCTTCAAGAAAATTTCTTTATGGAACTTAGCTTGTCCAGTTGTAAATTACTGTGCGCACATCTGTTCAAGCACGAGACTCGTATCAAATGAGGTTTGTTATACTTAATAAACACTGCTTGCAGATTATATCAGGAAACATGAAACTTGTGCATTTCAATAGGCTGTCTGATTATCAGAGTAGTTAATCGTTTTAATTTGTTTATTTCTGTCCTGATTGTATACCTGAGTGTTTGCACTAGCTGGAAGGTCCCATGGTAATAGTTGGCTTACCCTGAGAGAGCAGTCACTTGAGGAAAGCATGGATTTGTGTGAGCTGCTCTTTCGTAAAGCTGTGGGAAAGCTGTTCATGTGAACCTTGCTATGATGCTAATGTGATCGGCTTGAGGCTTTGAGCAGGAGTTAAGACCAACAGGAGAGCGTTGTTTTTCCCTTTGGATTGCCTGGGTGTTTGGAAGTACTTTTTGCGTAGGCTGTTCTGTGTAGGCTGTGCGTGTAATTCCTGTCTGCGTGATTTTTCTTTACCAGTGAAGAGAGAGAAACCTTGTGCTGGGAGGTGGGCTCGAGCATATGGCTTGCAGTTTATGTCACTGTTGGACTAAGAATGCTCCTGACAGGAGTAGTTATTTGGGTATAAATAAGAACACTACTTTAGGGTTGGTTGCTTGCACTGTCTGTGGTTGCAGGCAGGTTCTTTAGGGTATGCTGAAAAGCTGCATGAATCTTCAGTATCTCTCAGGACTTTCTCTTTTTTTTAGTGTTTTAATTTAGATGTTTTAGAATTTAGGTTTAGGGAATTAATATCAACCTTTATCAAGTATTGAGGGAGTTAGAGGTTGTAAAGATCTGGAGAGTACTTTCACTTTGTTCAGGTTTCTGGATGACTCAGTGTTCTTCAGGGTTGATATTAAATACATGAAGTTCGTGCTAGGCTTTATAAACTTATTTGAGTGGGAAAATGCTTTTCAAATATTTTAATTTAATATTGTAACAGAATAGTAAGATCGTTTGTTTTCTGTCAAGAATACATCACCTGTGTGAAATGGATTGAAGTAGCAAATCTTTAACTTTTTGGGTGCTCATTACTCCTCACTCAGTGACTGACAAACTTTCTTATTAATTTCTTAGGGTGTAGTGATGTTGGCTAGAGGAATAACAAACACTGAAGTTGCTTCATTGGTTTTTAATTGTTTTTTTTCCTAGGTGGCTTCTCAACTGTGTTTCTGGTACGTACCCATAGTGGGATACGTTGTGCACTGAAACGAATGTATGTTAATAATGTGCCGGACCTCAACATATGCAAGAGAGAAATTACAATTATGGTAAGAAACCCATGATTTTAAACAGGAGAATCTACTAATTTGTAATATACATACACTAAATGCCTCTTCAATGACAAGGTGGTCTAGGAGTGATTTTCTTTTGACCTTGCAGTCCTGATTTTGCACAGTTAGTTTCAGAAATGAATGCTGAGTTTAGGGTTGGTGCCTGATTAACTCCTAAAGCAATTATAAAAACATGGATTTGATACCACAGTCAATTTGATTAGTACATCTGGTTCCCAAGCAAAAGTAATTTCTTCCAGTTCTGCAGTGGTAACTTAAATTCTCGATGCCTCTGTGTGCCACAGCTCTGTTAGATGAATGGTGCTGCTGGTGGCTTCCACAAGTGTTGTCATCTCGAGTAGGAGTAAGCACATTCTTGAGGTTGCAGCCCAGTGTTGAGGTAACCAATAGACGTGTAGCTGAACTCTTCCACATAATTAGGGTTTCTGTTCTTTTTCAGCAGCTGACTAGCACATACAGAGAAACTGGAAGGTTCAGTCAGGCACACTTGGTTTTGTGATTACTTGACAGCTTAAAAAAATTAGTTGCTGACTGTGTACGAGAAAATCTCTTATATAGCCTTCCAGCAGATCCTATGAGGACTATCTCCATCTCCACACACTTCTAGCTTACAGATGTTGTAACCATGGCAACACCTATTTAATTATTTGATATGAATGGTACTTAAGTTAACCTGAAGTTACAGGGAGCAGCTGTGGATGACAACACTTGTATAGTCAGATATGAAATAAGCATTGCTTAATTCTGCATGTACAGTGGCTCTCAGAAGTTGTTTTTTCCGTGGGGACACGTTCTGTTGCTAGTGTGTAGTAACTTTGCAAAACTTTGTAATAGTTCAGACTGTACAGCAGTTGTGTCTTTTTTCCAACTACCTTTTCTAATAACTGTGAGGGACTGTTTTGTTTTTCAGTTTAGCTTAGGATGGGCACAAGTAGCTGGATTCTCTTATCTCCTGCATACCAGGCCTCTGCCTGTTAGTACTTCAGAGTGTTAGAATGCAACAGTTAGTATGTCTTTGCACTGTCCCACCAGAATCACATCAGTGTTCTTTTCTGAATAGTAACTGCATTGTGTTTGATACGTAGCAGTCACTGACATTGCTGGCAGTGATGAACCTGTGTTGTGTTTGTGGTACTTCCTCAAGAGTAGTGAAGGTGGGGCTAACTTCAGTTGAAGTCATAAATGGTTGTCTGAAAACTTGTCCTAACTTCTATGTAAATTTTTATGTGATGAAGTGTAATGTGCATTTTCTTTTTTCAGAAAGAATTATCTGGGCACAAGAATATTGTGAGCTACTTGGATTGCGCTGTTAACTCTATAAGTGATAATGTTTGGGAGGTACTCATTCTCATGGAGTACTGTCGAGGTAAGAGTCAACTCTTAGTTTTTCAGAGTAAATACAGGGAAAATCTTTGTATTGCTCACCTGGGATTTTACTGAGAATTTTTCCCTTAATATAAAAGGTTAACTTATATATCTGATTGCTGGAATCCAAGTAGTTCTTTTTGCCCTTTCTGTTGCTTTGTTACTTAGGCACTAAGTTGTTGAACACTGAGAACATCTTAAGGTCTCTTTCACGTGGCTTTGTAATAGAGTATGATTAGAAACAGAGAAATTACTCATAAGTATAAAGTGAAATGGTTCTGTTCTGCTGTTTGGGCTAATTAACATGTAGCTAGGACATAATTTGATAGGAAAGACTAGGAAGCTTTTCACTGCTGTTTTCACTCTGCTATTTTTTTTTTTTTTATAATAACACCATTGAAGATGCTTTACTCTTACCTGACAGGTGACTTGTTGTAAATGAGCATAGTATAGCTAGTGTTGATAATGCTGGCCAATAAAAATAGCCCTGGGGTCCTGACTTGTAATCTAACTCTGTTTTCAAACAATATGTAAGAACAGGTAGTTTCTATTCCCCCCCATATGCTCTGAAATAAACTTGCCATTGTGTTTAACTTCTGAGGTTTATCTAAAATTTATGGTAACTAGGTACTGACCTCAAAATACAAATGGTGCTTAACCCAAATAAGTGATATTAGGACAAGTGCTACAGGTAGACTAGAAAGAAAACCCACCCCATTGCCCATAATGTTGGAGGAATACTTTGAGCTGAGGTTTACACTGGTTTTATTTGCAGCTGAAACAATAAACGTTGCAGCTTGTGCTGTCTGTACCATAAGGAGCCAAACTCAGTTTTGATGTATGTTTTGGAGGAGGGAATTAGGAGAACCTGAAAACTAATGGTCACATTTTTGTTCCTCTGCCCTGCTTGTATGAGTGAATGTGTGTACCCATGTGGGAACTCCCTTCTTGCACCCCGTTGGTAGCATTTGTTCCCTGATGATAACAGCAAATAGCCACATGGATGTCAGATGGCTAGGCAATGTGAGGCTTTTCTTTTTCAAAGCATCCTTGTTTTGATGGAATGCTCACCTAAGGCCCTGCAGATACTGAGTCTTGCTTCATCTTAGTGTTATGTGAGCATTGTGGTAGGAAGGATCTAGTATTATTTGGTAAAATTATTCAAGAAACAAGGAAATAATGATTCCTGATCCTAAAAAGAAACCTCTGAAGAGGTTAAGTGAGATCTTTCTTGAAGGGTGGATTCAGGGCTCTTTTCCCCCTTTTTTCCTTCCCCCCACCTTGTGTCCCAGAAAGACAGAGAGGATGTGTAGAATATGAATTACACTGAATTTGGTTGGCTGACAGGGTTTTGGCTATGGATCTAAAAGCAGGAGACACTTTTGAACTAACATCTTTGTGATGGATGCTGCTTTGTGTTTGTGACTACTTGTTCCAAATGGGTTTCAGTCATAGAGTGTGGGGTTTTTTTCATTTGAGACAGTATTTTTTTTTATCCAGGATGATACAAGAGTACGCATTTGGAAAAAACAGGTTTATTTTATTAAAAAACAGTGACTGTGGAAAACTTTCTTGTGTCTTATTGATGGATCATTTGCATATAATTAAGTCTTTACATCTGTACATAATAGGAATTACTAAAAAAATTTACCTTTTTCTTTAGCTGGGCAAGTTGTGAACCAGATGAATCAGCGTCTGCAGACAGGCTTCACTGAGTCAGAAGTAATGAGAATATTTTGTGATACCTGTGAAGCTGTTGCCCGGTTGCATCAGTGCAAAACACCTATAGTTCACCGGGATCTAAAGGTATGAACTTAATGAAAAGGAACATCTAGGTTAAGACTGACATCTAGCTAGGGGAGCACTTGCTGTTGGTGGAGCTGTAAATAGGGAGACTAAACCAGAAGATGCCACTTATTGCTAATGCCAAGTCTATCAATAGATTTTACTGTAAATCTTCCTGTTTGTGTAAGAATGTATAGAAAAAATTAACTTGGAAATTAACACCATTGTTTTCATCTACTGTTTCTGTGTTGATTTCCTTTCAAGGTGGAGAATATCTTGTTAAATGATAGCGGGAACTATGTTCTCTGTGATTTCGGCAGTGCCACTAACAAATACCTTAATCCTCAAAAAGATGGTGTCAATGTGGTTGAAGAAGAAATTAAAAAGTAAGTTCACTTTTAAGTGGCCTATCATAAGCAAGGACTAAGCTGCTAGAAAGCTCCATGTATTATTGTGCAGTGTGCATGGATCTTATTACTATGAATTTAACTTAGTGGTTTAATTTGAACAAATGTTGACATAAACAGTGGAACTATTCAGTAACAGTTTTCTTCCATTTATTCACAGATTGGTTTTGCAAAACGGAGACTCTTAAGAATAAGAAAAAAGCATGCTATTTTGAAATTGTTCAGAAATATGTCTGGCTACTGGCCAGTTTGAGTTGTCTATTTTAAATTTGTGCTAATTTAATACAGCTAATGGTGTGAGGGGAAAAATAACTAATGTAAATAAGCATTAGAATGGATTTATGTAGAGTCTTATTTATGGAGTAAGGTCTGTGTTCATTCTCCTGAGACTGATCAGAAAAATATTTTAACTTTTATTACAAACACTCTTGAAAACATGGATTGTTTTCGTTTTGCCTGTTCAGGCCAACTACTGCAGAGGAATAAATGCAGGCTACTTGTTCTCAAGTTGAAGTGATACAGTTTGGGTTTTTTTCCAGCTCTGAAAAATATTTTGACTAGTAGGTTAGGAGATGGTAGGTTTTTGAAGTCTGCATTCTGTATGCTTCAGTATGCAATAGGGAATACTCTTGTAGGACTCTTGTATTACATCTTTCAAATGACTGGTTATTGCAGTATTTAAGCGAAGTGACTCTTGCAAAAGTTGTGTGCTGGGGAAATACCATTAGATGTAAATTTTAGTTGACTTAATATTTGATCTTGTGTATGATAATTCTATGTTATACTCCAAATATTCTCTGTGATGCTGCAAATGTGGTAAATGATATTGTGTAAGACAATTCCAGGCGCGTATCTGAAGCTTGGGTGTGAATGGTGGGTGCGTAGCAGATGCAGGAAAACGTGTTCAGTTTTTGAGGGATGCTTTTCATCTGTGTCCTCGTTTAATTATGTACTGCTAGGTATACAACACTGTCATACCGAGCTCCAGAAATGATCAATCTTTATGGAGGAAAACCAATTACTACCAAGGCAGATATCTGGGTAAGCAAAAAATCAGGTATTGTGGAATATGGAACTAAGAGGTGTGGTGGGGAAGTTAAAAGCAGCATTGGCTAACTGAAAAACTAGTTATTTGAAAGTGGAATGTCATACAGCTATACAATATAGTAGAGGTATTTTTGGTAGTGTTAGATGATCCTTTTGAGTTAAGGAAGACATGATTTAGAATTCTTTTGCTTTTTGTTGGTTCAGGTTGCTGCTTAATAGTCACCAGTGATTTCTCATGGAAACCTGTTGGCAGCATGGTAAAGAAAAGGTGTTTTTATTAGGTCATGGGCAGTGAAGTGCATCAAGACTAGATTCAGCAGAAACCCTAGTGGTATCTCTGGGTGATATGACAATGTGAATGCAGCTCGTGGGATATGCTCCAATTTAGGTAGTTTGTTGCCTAACATAGGAGTCTTTGAGAAAGAGCCTTTTTAGAGCTGCTTTATATATCAGCTTGCCACATCAACAGTGGGCTTCGTAATACAGCTTCTGCATAACAGCGTAGGCATCAGCTGTAGCTAGGATGCAGTTTGTTTCTTGTTGGTGCTACTTCACTGTGTAAAAGGCTTACTCTCATCCCTTTACAGTGCCTGTATTTGTTTTTTACAGGCACTTGGCTGCTTGCTGTATAAACTTTGTTTCTTTTCACTTCCCTTTGGAGAAAGTCAAGTTGCTATTTGCGATGGAAGCTTTACCATTCCGGACAATTCCCGATACTCTCATAGTATACACTGTTTGATAAGTAAGTAGCTGGGCAACATGGCAAGTCTTTCACCTCCTAAATCAAATGAAAAGAGATGATCCCGCTAATGTAGGCGAGTGACTTGGGTGGGTGGTGCCACTGGCTGGGTTCTTGAGTGAGCAGTGGGAGTTGCTCCTGGCTAACATCTGTCCTGCAGCTCCTGCACTTGCCCTTGAAAGGAGGCTTGCTTATCCACTTGCTCATCAGAGAACTGTGCCATGGGCTCACAACTGAGGTGCCAGTCTAGAGACGTTATGAATGTGGTGACCACGTAGTTCATGCTTTTATGTAATAGCAAATACCAAATCCTAACCACTTTTTTGAGCACTCATTGATAATTGAGAAATAGCAGTTAACACAGTAAGCATTGACCTTCTGCAAATACTTAATAACTGACAAAATGAGAGTAATTTGGAATTCATTAAATATTTTTCTCTGTGACACAGTGCTACTTTTAGAGGAGTACAGGTTTTAATTTTGCTTCCTTATAAGTATGAACATTAATTTATTAAGATTCAGTGAACTGCTGTGCCAAGAAGAGCATTACTGGCATGGATTATATGTGGGTGGGGAAGAATCTCATAATGTAAACTTCTCTTTTTTCCATTTGGAATGGAAGCCAAAAAAGAGCTGCACTTGGTCATAAAAGGTATTTTGGGGACTTCTGGCTTGATTTCAGCTCTTCTAAAAGGCGTGAGTCGGGAGTGACAGGCTGAACATACTCTACCTCATAAATCTAATATTTCAGACTCAAGTGGCAGGAGTCACTTCGTGATAAGTGTTCTGTTTCCACTTAATGGTGCTGTCACTGCAAGTTGAAATCTGTTTTATTTTGTTAAACCCTTTTAGAAGAAAACACTGAATGCTGTGTCACGAAATAATGGCTTTGAGTGAAATTATAAGACCTGTCTAAAAAGAATTTTTTTAATTCCTTCAAGATTTTTTTTAGGAAATATTGTTTAAGGTTGGCTGTACTATGGAACAGTTTTGGCAATGTAGCTCAATTTTCTCATTAAAACTGGAAACTTAATTTTTCATAGGTTATTTATTCTGTAGCTGAACATATTTTTAGAGGCTTAGCTTGTTTAGAAAATGTCTTTCACTGTTTATTTAGGTTCTCTGAACTTTCAGGCAAGATTTCATGATTATCTACTCCGTATCATGTCATAAAATATTAATCAACTTTTATTTGCTTGAAAAATATCAAGCCTTGTAATTTGGGAAGATAATGTTTGAAGGATGTGAGAAATCTGTGTTTTGTCAGGAAAGTCCTTTTATCCATGCAACTATATTATTGTTAATATACGAAAGTGTGCATAGCCAACTAAACGTGCAAGAGAAAAGATGCAGAACCTTAGCCTGATGCAGTTAAATGTGAGTCTTCTGTTAGCTGCATTTAGTTTTGTATTAACCATGGATAATTCTGGTACTGTGATTTGGTTTTATGTTGTTTCTCTATGAGGTTGTTCATTACTACTTCAGTTCAGCTACCCGTTACACAACAGTGTCAAAATATGAAACAGCATACATCTCCAATTATATTTAATCCTAGAAACTACTTGACAAAAAGTATTGGGGAGAAAACCAACCAACCTACCAAAACCCCAAAAAACCTATAACAGTAAAAGTCATTTTTTCTGGGGTAAGCTCATTTGGCGGAGCTGCCAAATTTCTTCTTGCTGATAGCTCACTGTCTCAACAGGCTTTTTGATATCCAACAGTTATAATTTGATCTTATAATTTTTGCAGGATATATGCTGGAACCAGATCAAGAACAGAGACCTGATATCTTTCAAGTGTCTTTCTTTGCCTTTAAATTTGCCAAAAAGGACTGTCCAGTGTCTAATATTAATGTAAGCAGTCTTTTAATTTTTTTCTGCTCTTAGTGTTTTGTAGTTAACATTGAGGAGAGTCTATCAGATCAGTGGAGAGAGATTTCTATTTCTTCATAAACTTTGTTCCTAAATTTAAAACACAGAGCAGAGTATTCTGCAAGCTGCTATTGTGTACATGCAATATTAGCTCTCTAAATATTTTTTTTAATTTTGAGGGGATAGCTTCGTGAATTATATTGATACTTCACCAATACCTGGCTTATGGTGATAAGCCATTACTAATCTCTTGTGTCTGACGCAATTAATATGGAATATACTAAGGAACTTTAAGCCTTCTGTTGTCAAGAAGTTTATGTTGTAACTGCCCTGTCGAGAGCATTGATGTTTGTTCTGGATAAACCCTTTCTCTCAATCATCCTTAGCAATTATGTTAATCCATTGGGAGGACTACAGTGAACTGGAAGGCAAACAGAATAATCCCTTGGTTTCCATGCAAGTTTGAACTTTCTAAGATCATCTCATTCACATATCTAATTATTGTGTGGTAGAATTTGAGGGCATATTAATTATCTTCAGTATTATCACAGAATCACAGAATGGTTTGGGTTGGAAGGGACCTTAAAGATCATCTAGTTCCCACCCCCTGCCATGGGCAGGGACACCTTATCACTTAAAATAGCAGTAAGAGCTGTGCCACAGTTTCTACTGCTGTTGATTACCTCTGGTAGTGCTTGCCTCCCTAGCACCCAAGGCTGCCTTAAAAGAGAAGCAGAACCAAAATGTGCACGTGGACACCCCCCCTCAAAATTTCATGAGAATAAAGGAATGACCACTGTAGGTTAGAGAAGCTGTCAGAGTGCAGCATACTGTCTTGGACAGCAGCTGGTTTTCTAGGGAAAGTTGGAAGTATACTTGATTGTCTGTCCCTTTCCTAGACTCCTGACTAATTCCAGTGCTGGTGGTAGTCTTCAGAAGCAGTTTTTGATAAGTGACTCGGTCTCTACTATTTGTGACCAGATTTAAAGTTGTATTCTCTAAGGAGGTGGTGCATGTGTGATTAAAGGTAGTCGTCTTCCTCCGTCCCCTGGAATTGCCATTTTCCTTGGTTAAACATGGTTTAAGTGAATTGTAATTCAGTCAGAAATTTGACTGAGCTGGGGATAAGTTCAAGGATCATAAAAGCTTAGATGCTGCATGGTTTTCTGGAATTCATGTTGCAGTGGAAAAGATGAGTGGGCTAAAAGCCAACTTGTTTCATTGAAAGGTTAGGCTTTGGTTTAGTTCTTAAACTTGAGCCTAAAATAAGTCTGTTCTGTGCAGTTATAAGAAAATATTTGAAGAAAATGCTTCAGTTTATTGTTGTTAGTTGGTAGTGTGTAAGTGAAGTCATAGACAAAACAGTCAGACCAGTAATGTCGGTTTCTTTTGCAACAGATAAAAGAACATGGAGATACTGTTAAATCAAAACGCTTTTAATCTACAGCCATGCGAGTGAGTTCTGCATGAAGCCTTGTAACATGACAAACTTGAATCCAAGTATTCCTCTTCAATATGTAATGATTTTTTTCTTACAGGATTTCGTTTTTTTAATTTATTCAAATTTATTTTTCCCAAGAATTCTCCTGTCCCTTCAACTCTTCCTGAACCCATGACAGCTAGTGAGGCAGCTGCTAGAAAAACCCAAATAAAAGCAAGGTAAGCTGCGAATGTGGCTTTTTTTGGGTAATATTGTTAAGCTACATATTTGTCTTGAAACCTGTTCTTATGCTTGTTAATAAATGGAAAATTACTTTAGGAGCAGAGGTCATTAGAATAGATGAACTGCAATTTTAACAGCTTCAAGTCTCTTTTTGGATTCCACTCCATTGTTTTTTTTCATTGTATTGAGAATCCGTGGAGAGAAACTGAGCACCTGTTTCATGGTGGAATAAGGAAGTGCTAGCAGTCTGTTTCTGATCTGCTTTTTGTTTTCCCTGTGTGATGAGTGAATTTTGAAATAAAAGATTTCAATGGTAGGTGAAGATAATATGTACATGTCAGCTGTTTTTAAGAGTTTTATTTAAATGTGAAAATCAGATTTGATTGAAGGTAAGTGGATTTTATTCTTAGAAAAATTTTGATTTTTATACTAAAATATTTCCTTTTTTGGTACTTTTTAATAAAAACAGAACCAAAACCTTGGTAACTCCTATTCATGCCTTTTTACTCCTGCTCTGTTATATAGTGTACACATCTAAGCCGTGTTTGACTGATGTAGATGTCTCTGCCATTTTAAGGTACTGGTCTGGCCATAGTTGGGTTTGCTGGCTCTGCTGTCCGTTGGTGACACACGGCGGGGCGTAGGCATAGAGTATCTATGGAATAAGGTTTTAAACTCCAACTAAATCTACTAGGTGATAATAGGAATTTCTCTAGTACTTCTAAAAAATGTTTTCCTGATGGCCCTAAGTTAGAGCAGGTTAAGGCAGATGGTGTCTTGATATTTGGTAGGAACTAATATGGGGTGTTGGGTACTGGAGCTCAGTGGTGAATTAGTGTTTTTTAAACAGTTGGACAGTTTTGAGAAATATGTTTACTATAACCTGATAATGGGTTTAAAGCTCAAAAGTACTTTAATTTTGAATATCTTTATTATGCTGGCAGACTATTTTACAGCCTTGAAGTACTTTGGGGAAGAATAAAATATTTTGAGCAATTTATGGGTGTTGTATCTGCTAAAGGCTTAAATCATAGAATCACAGAATATTTTGGGTTGGAAGGGCCCTTAAAGCCCATCCAGTTCCAACCCCCCTGCCATGGGCGGGGACCCCTTCCACTAGACCAGGTTGCTCCAAGCCACATCCAACCTGTCCTTGAACACTTCCAGGGATGGGGCATCCACAGCTTCTCTGGGCAACCTGTTCCAGTGCCTCTCCAGGCAAGAATTTATTTCCTGATATTCAATCTAAATCTTACCTTTTTCAGTTACGCTTGTTACCCCTTGTTCTGTAACTACAGGCCCTTGTAAAAATCTCTTTCACAGAAACTAGGAATGAGTTGCCTTAACAGGTAAGATTAAGAAAAATCTTATTTCCTGTATGTATAAACAGTAATCATATCTCTAGGTGTAGAACTGCTGACTCAAGGGCTGGACATAACTTTCACTCCCTACTGTGAACTGAGAGAAGGTTTTATGGAAAAATTTCACCTAGTGTCATGGTCTGCTTGGGAATAAGGCTGTTGCATAGCTCCTTCATGGTGTTCTGCAGCAGTCATATATCCTGTGACTGCCATGGGTGGTGAGTGGAATTCTAGGAAGCAAATTTTAAGGTATTAACTTCTAATTCAGAAGTAGAGCAGCACATGGTTGAGACATAATTGAGCTATTAAGGCATATTCTGTGTCTGATTTGAAGAAACACTCTTTGTTCATCAAGTCTCCCCTATGGCAAAACTTGTCATTTCAGAATAACAGATACTGTTGGACCAACAGAAACCTCAATTGCACCGCGACAAAGACCAAAGGCCAATTCAAGCACTGCCACTTCTAGTGTTCTGACGATCCAGAGCTCAGCAACTCCAGTCAAAGTACAAGTTCCTGGTGAATTTGGTAATCGTGGGCAAAAAGGTAACTTAACAAAGTCTAAGCATGGACCAAAATAAGTGAAGAATGAATTTTGTATTCCTTTTTCTTCTTGCCCTAGTAGGGATAACATTTAAAATTCAAATTGACCCGCTTATTTTTTATATGCGAAAAAACAAATCATGGTCCTTTCTGGAAGACTTTAAATGTGGAAGTAATAAGTTTGGCCAGGTGACACAGGAACTACATGCAAATTGTTGAGAAGTGAAGGCATTTTTTTCACTGTGCTTAACGCTGATTTTGAAATAACTTTTCCACTATGGACTGTGAGAGAAGTCCATGCTCAGTTTTAACTTTCAGATACCTCACAAAAAGTACTCATCTCTTATGTAACAAACGGCCTCTATAGCAGTAGGAAAATTATTTTCCCTGTGCCTCAATAAATCATGAGATAGCAACAGCATGTTGGTGTTATTTCTAGGCTGGAAACATGTGAAAACTTCAATTCTCTAAGGAGTGACAATGCATTTCACATTGCACTATGGGTGCAATAGAGGGGCAACAGAGGACTAATAGAGACAGACTCAATCGAGCAAAATGAGTTTTCAATAAATTCTTTGAGTTTTTCTTTATCTCATTCAATAAGTTATGGCTCTGATAAATATTCACTTAAGTAGTTTTCATTCTATCCTCAATACTTGTCCAGTTGCACTTTGCTACGTGCTTACGTGCTGCATGCTTTGTATGTGCTTACGTACAGGAAGAGTAGCTTCAGGGATGGCATTGGGAAAGCCTTCAGTCAAATGCCACTGACAATGTTTGTGTCCCAGGTGTAAATAATTCTTATGAGACAGGATCCAAATAACATCCAACTTGGAAAGCTTTTCCTGTTATGACAAGGAACAGATAATTCATGGGCAAGTCAGAATGTAAATACAGCATTTGAGAGAGATTGATTTATGTTAGTAACTGCTTACTTAAAAGGCTGCAAAAACAATTGAATTGGAAAATTAATCAGGTGTTCTGTGTATGGGAATTTGACAAGGGAAGCAATAGTTCCATTAAAAATAATAGTGTGTACACGAAATTGTTTTGAGGGTTAGGGTTTGTGATACTAGAACTCACAACCTAAGTGTTAGTATAGCAGAAGTCCTGAACCCTGCTTCCTCTGTTTTGAGACCAAAGGAAGCTTCCCACATGTTGTAAGTAGAAATTGTTCATTGATAGGCCTGGAAGTATTTTTGGAGAAGTGAACTTAGTATCTACCGGCTGCACTACTTGTCAGACTAGACGTTCATGAACTGTTTCACCTTCATGTGTTGGAATTTGGTTGCCAGGAAGCTCTGTAGCTGAACTTTAGAGATCAGTATGTCAGTAGTGTTGTCTGAATCTCACAGGAGCCACGCGACCAGGGAATGGACAACAAATCTTACAGTCCCAAGGGCCCAACCAGCACCCCCCGCAGCAGAACAGAGTTCTCCAGCAGCTGCAGCAGGGTGACTGGAGGCTGCAGCAGCTACACCATTTACATCACCAGCAGCAGCCACCTACGATTCAGGATGCTTACATCCAGCAGGTATAAGTGTGCTAGCATGCTAGTTTAACATCTCTGCTGTTGTGGCCTGTTTGTTTCCTGCTAGGAGAGAGAAAGGGATCATGGCTCCTGCCCCCTCTTTTTAGCTTTGATTTGCCTCTTCATCATGGGCACTGTAATGCTTACCCTACAAAGTTACTTTTGTTTTTTTGTTCACAGTCTTGGTTTTGCAGTTTGACCCTGAATCCCAGCTTGTTTTGAATCATCCCCATGTGACCCAAATAAAGGTTTTGTGTATGTGTAAATGTGCTCAAGATAAACGTTAGGAGTTAGCTAGGTGATGATGCTATGCTTGCAGTAGGTGGTTGTACATACACTGTCTGAGTAGGGATTTTACAGTCTCTGCTTTCTTTAATTTTTCTCGGTCACTTAAGAGCTTCCTCTTTGTGTTGAGTCACAGAAGTGATATTTCAATTGATGCTTCTTCTTAGTATCTGTATGTTCCTAAAGGGAGGATCATGACTTCTTAAAACTATTTTCTTCTTCCAACTGTAGTATCAACAAGCAGTGCACCAGCAGATGGTCCAGCAGCAGCTGTTGATGCAGTCTGTGTACCAGCAGCAACCTTCCCAATCTCAGTATCCTGCTATGGTATGTCAAGAACGGAACATAGATGGTACAGTTGGAAAATAATGCGTTGTGTTTGTAAGTCTATTGTGAAGATGCAGTAAGAGAAGTTTGTGAGTAGTTGTAATGAACTGTGAACGTGGTAAATAGTGTGAAGTTCAGCATCTAACATGATACTCAGGAAAAAAGTTAACCCTATCTTGGTTGCAAAAGCTTATCTGAAGTTGCACTTCTGTATTAATCGGATGGAATATGTCCTAAATTTCATTAAGTAGGTATGTATTAATTTGAAACATAAGTGGTGTAAGGTTTCCAGTAGTGACCATGGCAGTGAATGTTTATTATGCTACAGAGTGATAAAAGACACAGTGGTATCAAGTTCCTGCTTTAAAAGCAAGAGAACTAACTGGCATCATCCGTTTGTCAAAAGTCAGGAGAAACTGTTGTGACATTTTGATTATTAATATTTAAGAATGGGGTATGATGAAAACCAACTTCTTAGTGCTGCAGTAGCATATACTTAAGTTGCAGTAACCACAAAAAGCTAAATGTTAATATGTTGGAAGAGAAAAATGGTATCACTGGCCTACTAGGGCAGTTTCTTTTCACCCATATAATGCAGAGGTTGGTCTTCTGCTGAAGCTACCAAGCTTTCCTGGAGTGTGGTGGCAGTTAGTGCGTTTGTCTGCGAGGCTGGCATTGTTACTTAAAGAATAGATGCACATTGGCCCATATGAATTTTAGTAACGTGACCATTATCTTACTTAGGTGCAGCAATATCAGCAGGCTCTCCTACAGCAGCAGATGCTTGCTCAGCAGCAACAGCGGTCACAACAGGCGCAGTCTCCTGAGTATATCACTTCTCCACAAGACTTTTCACCAGCCTTAATCTCCTACCATGGGTCACTGCCAGTGCATGCTGGAACAGTGGCAGATTCGTCCTACCCCGCAAACAGGCAAGTATTATGACACAGGTAAACCCAAAGGTTACTTATTGTTTACATTCCTAATTGGACTGCTGAATCCTTTCCTCAGAAATAAATTGCTTCCGTAGTAAGGTATTACTCAAAGCAGTTGGATTGTTGTTGTTTAGCAGTAAAGAATATTTTGGGAGGAGAATGGGACATAACTTGTTAACAGGTGAGCCTGGTACAACTTCTTAAAGGTCCTGTCCCCCACCTTCTTGTTCATGGACTTATTCCAGGAGCTGACTGCTAACCACTTTGTTTAGGATAGTCAGTATCCGATGTTGTGAGGTTATGGGCATGTGAAAGCC